TACCATGCAACACGGTTATTTTATTCTTACCTTTATTGCCTGAAAAGTCAATTCAGGATACATTTGATAGTATAGTCTGAATTATACTGTTTAATATGAGGATGCACAACGATAAAGCCTTTATGTAAACATTTTGTGAGCTAGGTTCGTCCAATCAGTGACACTGACACCGCAAATATGCAAATAAGGACATAAACCCAGGGTTTAGGAATGTACAGTGTGAAACGACATCTTCTAAAAACCCAGGATTTAATGTTTAGCCAGGGTAAATCAGTGTGAAATGTGAAGCAAGATAACCCAGGATCCTGTTTACCCGGGGTTTACAATAACAGGTTCAACCTTTTGAAACTACGAAAAGCCCTTATTTATACTACAAAACGGCATAGAATCTGACGGTTTCTCAGCTTCTGTGGCATTACAATATTTGCACATCCCATTCATTAGACACACCACATTTTGTGCAACAAAATAGATCCATAAGTGGCATATTGCTGAAAATAGCAAAATACTGTACATTAGGCTACATTAATTCCCTTATATTACAAAATAAAGCTCATTATGGGCATGTTCACACAGCAAAAGAATATGGCTGTCAGTCACTTCGGTATTTGAACGATTAATATGGTTATGTTGACACATAGTTTGGTTATTTATGAGAGTGACAACTGCATTCTGCTGTACAACCATGTCTGTGCACCGTATGTCTCAAATGCTTCTCACCACAGATAAAAGCTGTTATCTGTTAATTAAGATTTGACAGATGAGTTTGCACTGTATCTACTCTAATAAGTATTTTCAGTGTTATTTACATCACTATCTTTGACAGTTTGGTATAGAGATTGGCATGGTAATGGATATGGCAATGTTAATGTATTTGGTCTAGGTGGAATAGATCTGCTACACTGCAGCTGCAGAGCAAGTACAGAGACTTGCTACTGCCAATATATACTATTGCTGTGAGCATGTCAAACACGCTGCAGCTGCACATTTAACATACATGAATTAACCCCCATACCAGGTCTGTATGGGTGGAGTTGGGGAAGATGGAGGGTTTCTAAAAGCATGCTGCAGGCTGCTATCAGCAACACTACCAGTATTTGTTTGAATGTTGAGCAGCAGCTCATTGGCCGCTGATGGAACAGCAACCACTAAGCTGTACTGCAGCATGTAGATAATGATGTAACCACTACCAAATGAGTTAGACCTATCAGGTGAAGAAAGTTCAACACTTACTTCAGCAATTATAATTAAAAAAGAAACACAAATGTGAATTTTAATTAAAGTATTTTTTTCTTTTTAGTATGGCTAAATTGGACCATCAATGCTCAGCAGCAAATATAATAGTTTATAAATTGAGATTAAATATATTAAAGTATATTTTTGTTATGAAACATATTTAATTATTACAGGTTTGTGAATATTTGTTTGCATTTGAATCTGAATCTGTTTTTGTGCCAGTGTGATGAGTAAATGCCTGCTCGCATTTAGTTATCATGTTCACACAGCGCACAAGTCCTCTCCATTACTTCTGATTTGTCTCAGCATGTGGACAGGTGAGGTGTCAGTCAATGAATGACAAAACAAAGTTACTTGCATTAGTTAAAAAGTAACTCAGATATTTTGTTGTGTATTTAAAAGTAATGCTTTACTTAGTTTTCAAGTTGCTTGAAAAAAAGTAATCTGATTACGTAACTCACGTAACTTGTAATACAACACAGTCAGTTTATTTGACAAATTAAAGCTATGGTACATGATGTTAAAAATCGGTCGAGAAAGCCTGAGACGGTAGGGAAGTTTTAAAAAACTCATCCCTCATGAGTTCACGTCAACACAACTAGCAACAGATGAAATGTTCATCTAAGGTTTGAGTAATTGTTATAGCAGCACACAGCGCATCTTGTTCAAATTCCGATCGGCTCGAACAGAAACCGCTAGGCACACTGAAATATATTCAAGCACTTCAAGAAATATAATTACTTTGACCCGTGATCTGCGATGCTAAACGGCTAACATTGCCAATGCCGACCGGCAGCATGAGCAAGTTGTCAAACTATTAAAAAGATATTTATGTAACACACATCACAACATAAAAGTATAAATAAATGTTTACCTGCTCAACAAAAAGTCAGCCGTTTCAACGTCGGTTTCCAGTGCCAGATCTCCCTGAAGCTTCCTCCGACGGTCAATGGTGGACCCTATATTTATCCTAGAGTCCGGCGTCACATTTTTTTTCTTTTTTATCTCCGCTCTTTCCTCCACATACTTTCTCTTTCGTCCAAACTTTACAGTAGGGGTAAGCAGGGGCCACTTGCTGATGTCGTTTATTTTTATCCATTGCTGATATGACGCTACTTAGCTACCAAAGACTGTCTGTCAGCTGCACTTACTCGTGTGGTGCTGGTGATTGGATGAGAGCAGTTGACCTATGTAAGCTGTCCGACCAGACAGCTTACATTGGTCAACTTCTCTGTGTCTGTACAGCCAATAGAGTGAAGGGATTTTTTTAGTTCTTTTTTCTATTCATATTGTTAGGATTGTACTATATCCAGCATCTAAACAAGGATATTAATAATGAACAATCTTTGAAATTGTATACCCTACCTTTAAACTTGTGAGGTAACACAGCACTGTTTCACTTGGTCTACACTATCACACTAAACTGTATTTGTGTAACAATGCGGAAGGAATGAAGCAGAAAAATTAATCCAAACACAAGCGCATTTGTTAACAAAACAAACAGGTAGTCCAGGGTAAACAAAAAAACCAAACAAAGAAACTCAGACCAGGACCAAGGAAACACAGCTAACAGCTAAGATCTCACAAACACTGGAACAAGACACACGGTTTAAATACAGAGACTAACAAGCTAAACAAGCTAACAAGAGGGTGTGGTCAATCAGAAACACCTGAGGATACCAATGAACTAGAAAAACTACAAAGGACTACAAAACATGATCACAGAACAGGAAATAAGTTCACACAAGACAAGGGAAACACAGACAGCAATCAGATATGAACCCACACCGTGACAATTTGAGTGTGTTATACTGTTATACTTCTATGTGTTAGTTTGTTGTCTGTATGAGACTAGTAGTAAGCTAGATCAACATTAGAATAACATACTGACCATTCTAACATTTCATTATGTTGAGCTGTGTAACGTTGTTTTGTTTTTTGTACATTTGCTCACCTGTCTAATAAAGTACATGCAAGTTAGTCGTGAAAACGCCATGCTAATATTGATCCTCATTTCAGATCTCCTTTTGTCCCACATTTTGCTTGCAATGGTCCATAATGTTTGAACGAAACAATAACAGTGGCCGCTAGATGTAACACAGTTGTCTACTTCTGTCACCATGGGTACTGTGGCTGTACAAGCGGTAACATGGGGTAACAATATTACGTCATTGACAGGCAACAATGACCAGGGATGACCCATTATTTAAAATTGGTATTTCTCTAATGAAAGATCTTTGGGAACTTTTGGAATTGTGTAAGTACACAACTGCAGGAAATAAATCACACTGTGCAAGTGATTTTTGGATATTTTATTACAAGCATCTTACATATTATACCTTTAATGGCAAGCATGAAAATAAAATACAGGCTCTGCCACTCTTTCATACAGACAGTATTCGAGCCACTGCTGTGTGAGTTGTTAGATCTGACAGTGTGAACAAAGGTGCATTGCATGAAAATAACATGGTAGGCTAAATGTGTTCATCCATAAAATTAAATTAAACTCCCTTTATTTACTGACCATGTCATCCCTCGTGTCATTACAAAACGTTACAATACAGCACAGTGAGAGATTTTCACAGTGCTATCACATAGCTTCAGAAGAGTGGCAAAATAGTGGATGTTTGTTGGTGTGTTTTTTGTCACTGTACATCTGGTCTTCAAATTCTCTTTTTGTTTCACAGAAAAAAAAAAAAATCTGAGTCAAGAACAACAGTAAATAATAAATAATGAATGATCTTTCATTTTGGGATGAAATATCACATTATGTGTTTATATCACTCCCATGTTGGTAGTTTTTATATGGTGTCACAGCAGGGTTTCATTAATTTCTGAGTTTCCAGTGTGTAATTACGAGTACAAATTACAAGTTTTTTACTAATCGGAAGGTGGTAATTATGGTAATTCCAACATGACATGAACGCACCAGTCCCCTCTTCGACTGGTAGCGAGAAGAGCACTATTATGCGACAAACTGTTCCTGGGGTAATCATTAAAGTGCTGTCACACGCATGCAGTGTAAGCAGCTTTGTTAATTTAATGGAAGCGCTCTATTTTATCACATAAGATGGCTAGCACAGGGTGGATGTGGAGTAAAAGGACGCATGTTCTCTCTCTACCTTTTCTGTTGCATGTAGGTCAGCTTGCTCTCTCTGCTTTTTTCTCCCTCCCTCTCATTTTTCTCTCTCTAATACATTCTCTATCATCACATCTTGCACAGTATGCAGAGAACTCTTACAGATGTTCTCACCGCTGTTTATAAAGCACACTCACATTCACAAACCACACTCAACCACAACATTTTTTTTCTCAGACGATAATTCTTAATATTGTTACGCATTTTCTCATGTTTATCTATACATCCACTAATGAAATACAACTACAACAGATTGTTTCGGTCCTGAATGCTGACTGGAAAACACATATGAAAGCATCATGAAACTGAAAACACACTGTATATCAGTGTCATTAATATTATTATAAAAAAAAGCAAGCCATGCTGCTTTATAATGTGAAAATATCACAACTAAAGACGTTACGGGGCTCTGCTATGTTTCATGCCTAACAACTTCCTTTAGCTGTGACCATATTCACAAACTATTCCCAAATATGTCCCACTATGCATTTATTTATGTCAATGTTTTAAATCAAATCCTACATTATTTCTTGTTGACCATCCTGTTTCGTTTGGAAACATGTCACATTATGAAAGTAAAATGGGCTGCGAACAGCAAATTCTCTGCACTGGCAGCCATTTTAGAGGTGTGGGCTTCTGAAGTGTTGTGTTGTAATGCATGTATTGGTTCATAGCAGTTGGACAGATTGTTTTGTGGTCAGGTCCTCAGTCTCTTCCTCCACAGTGCCCATGCCCCACAGGGCCCCAGATGGCAGCTGGTAGAAAGAGCAAGGCAGTTTTTTAGACTGGAAAAGATGCTGCTGGGATCCAGATATCTGCTGTGAATGGACATGTTGCAAAGATCACAATCTTTTGCACAAAATCCAAATTTGCCCATTGCTGTTTTTTTAAGCTATAGATGACAGGACACTTTTTAGACACTATTCCCAAGAACGCATGCAAATGGCCAGGAAAAGGCTGAGCTGTGTCCTTGCATTAGCATCACCTGAACTGTTTTATTTGTTTCCTCCAGGAAAAGAAACACCACTACCTATGAGTCTGCATATCTGTGCCACCCTGGGGAAAGTGCTGGAAACAAGTATGGTCTGGCAAGACTCCTGAGACACTCTCAGACCTGTCACGTCACCAAAGAGTGGACGCACAATCTGTCAAGCTCAACCCAGACCCCTTAAGGAATTCTGGTCATTTAAGGACTGGAAGAACGCCTTCCAGGTCTTTCCGATGCCACATGAGCACCTCCCTGAAAAGACTTTGCTTATCAAAACAAAGGTCAGGGAGGTGTAAGTGCAGTCAATCAAGAGAAGAAGCAATAAAAGGCATGGTCATAGCAGACCTGAAACAGGAAGAAGGTTGTGACATTGAGGTGGATGTAGTTTCTGTTACGCTGGTTGCATCAGTTCCTTTCTGAAACTCATAAAGCAACCTATGAGAAAGTCTACAGATGTTTGGCTTACAACAGTATTGAAATAAACAATATTTCTAAGTAAGATCCCAAGATTCTCTTCAAGGTACTCTGTGTTTTGATCCTCCTTGCATTTATGTCCAAATAAATGTGCGGCAACACAGTAAAAAACACTGAAACAATTGCCAACATATCTTCTGATCTTGAGTGTGATGGACTTCAGCCATTTATTTGTAAGAAATAATATCATTGAATATCACATTACATCGAACTCTCAATTGTGCAATATCAGTGAACAGGGTGTAATTCATTGCCTCAAAACTTTGTAAACCACTGGAGCCACAAGCTGCAACTTCTTGTGACAGCTGAAGTAAGACACAGTCATCCATTGTCCTTCAGGGCTTTTTATACTGTGCACTGGCTGGAAGTCTTAGTCCATCTGTGCCGCATAAAGATTCAGGGTGACGCAGCCTGTAACCAAGGAGGGACTTTGAGACCGAAATGGACAAACCCATCCGTCCTCACGTCCCCTGCAATGGCTGAGTGTCCTCCCCCAGTGCACTGAAGACGTTCTCTGCAGGACCGTACGCTACATCCAGTTCCTCTAGCCAAGAACACCACACCCAGGAGTGAATGTCCTGCCTCCGGCGCCAACCTGTGACCATCCCTATGGACACCGTCAAGATCATCCAGTCGGAGAAGTTCCCTCGGGAGTGTCCAATCCCTGTGACCCAGCCTCGCTACGCACCACCTCCCCGTGTGGCCTGGGATGGAGGAGGTGAGGGCGAGGTGATTGTTAACCAGGCATGTGGCGACCTGTCCATGGAGGTCAATGGGAACACTGTGGTCCCACCCAGACCCCTAGTGTCTCCTCCTGCCCCCGTCCTCCGCCGTGAAGCCAGTTATCTTGCCCAGCGCAAGACCAGCACGTCCGACATCTGCTACCATCAGTTCCACTACAAGATGGACAACGTAATCGTCAACCAGTACGTGCTCCGCTCTTCCTCCACCTCTTCCTCCTCGTCCTCCACCTCCAGTAATGGCCCAGTAATGCCATGCGAACCACTGGACTGCCCCACGTGTGGACACACCTATAACTTTGCCGGCAAGCGGCCACGTATCCTGTCCTGTTTGCACTCGGTGTGTGAGGAGTGCCTGCAGATCTTGTATGAGTCCTGTCCCAAGTACAAGTTCATCTCCTGCCCCACTTGCCGCCGCGAAACCGTGCTCTTCACCGACTACGGGCTAGCCGCGCTGGCCATCAACACCAGCATCCTCAGCCGGCTGCCACCCGACCCGGCGGGGGCCGTGCAGTGGGGCACCGACGGTGACCGCAGCTGCTATCAGACGGTCCGCCAGTACTGTCAGTCGGCTTGCACTTGCCACATTGCCAACCCTCTTTCCTCCTGTGGCATCATGTAGACCGGAGACGGCTGATGACCGGCACAACTCACCCCAAAAGCTATCCACCTGTGCCCACCATCTGAAACCTTGAGTCACACACATCCACCTTCTCCGAAGGGTCACAGATGAATCTGTATATTTAATAGCACAGGATGCTATGTGGACTTGAAGTGAAAAGGACACTTGTGTGCAAAGACAGAGATATGAAATATCAGAGTAAATGTATTTTATGTATAAAATGATTTCCCTATAGCCCTCAATCTCTTGTTTGGATGTGTTCGTCATTGACATCTCTTTACATGGGAATGCCAAGGGAAGTCTATCTCCCCCCATACTGGGTATAATAAAGACTAATAAAGAATTTAAAGTCAAACTTTTTTGTTTGGTCTAAACTTTTAGTAGCTTATTTAGGTGCTGTAATCAATTCAGCCATTTTGGTAACAATTTCCAAATCTGGGCTGCATTCAAAATCACATAGTGTCTGAATAGATACTTGTGAACGTTAAAAAAGTACGTTCTGTATAGTTCGTTATTACAAAATGGATGCATGCACTTTTCACGTTGGCTTTTGAATTAGCTATCACGAGTACTCTGTTTATAGGGAGTGACAGTACTGACCCGATATTTTACAAGATAAGATATTTGTCAATGACGCTCAGGATCTGTTGCACACCAACTCATCCACCATAATCCTAAATCATCTCTCTCTAATCTTGTGATAAGTGAAATCTGATGTACTGTACTGTAACCAACAACCACAGCAAGCCTCCTTTTAGGAGTTCGATAGAACGCATTACTCATTACCGTGCCTTTCCGAATTTGGATTTAGGCTTCGGGCACAATCCTAGTAAACTGTCCATTGGATGCGCACTTTAGAATCTTGGTAGTAGCAGGTCATCCTAGATCTTTTCGCCTACTATTTATACTGTGAATTCGAACATACTCTTTTCACATAGTGTTTCTGACCTACTATATAGTAGAGAAGTATGCAATTTAGGATGCAGCCTTAGTCACTGAATTCGATTTTTTTTTAAATCATAAAATGTATATAAGTAAAGTAAGACGAATCTGAAAAGGTACATTTTGTTTATCACTGACCTGATGGAGATAACTGACAATACAAATACATATACACATATTTAGATATATTCCACAAGCCAAAACAAACGATCATGTTCAAAAGTTTACTACCTCCTCAAGCATCAATGACTGTTTGCAGCCTTTTGTGATAGTTGTGTATAAATTCATATTGTGCATATTGTGGATAAATTCAGTATTTTGTATTGTGGAATATATTAAAAACTGTATCAATGCAAAAAAACAAAGCAAAAATGCAATATATAAAATTCTGCTAGGACAATGTAATCTTACTGTATATACGACAGGATGTAAACCTGCAAACACAGATGTATATTGTATATTTTATTACATAAAACAATTATTATTAAAACACTTTACATGTACAAAATAAGGTAAAAGAAAAATTGTTTTAGCAGCAAAGGTTGATGCACTGAGATTGACCATGATCAATGAAAATATACTAAATCAAAATGAAAGGTTCCAGCAATGAAAATGAAACCATTTGCAGTGCATGCAAATGCACCACACCCAGACAGCGACAGTGTCGGCCCAGATCTGGCCAACATCCGGTACACGTGGATTCCTCACGTACCAGATGGGGGCCAGATCTGGACCAACATTATGTTACTGTCTCTATTGCAAATATAACAAATAAAAAGTGCATTGGCAGTTCCACAGAACTATGAAGATTATTAGTAGCTACTACTCAGTACTTTTTTAAGTGCAAAGGACTTAACAGAACTAAAACATAAACAGTTACACATAATAGTTCCATTATCTTCAGGTAAATGGGAGCTGTCTGACTACTTTGAAACACCATCACAAGACATCAGTGTGACCTGAATGTCATAGGCGTGTGGTTATTGTTCTGCTCCTGAAAATCTTTGGCAGTTTTGTTTTCTTCTTAGGCTGAAAGCTTTGAGAAAAGGTACATTTATGAAGATACACATAATAAATCTACATTAACAAATGATAAAATGTTACATAATCATTAAAACAGGGATCATATAAAATTAGACTTTGATTTTCTTGAATTCTTACCTTTTACTTTCGCTGTCAGACTGCTGTGTTCCCTGCCTTCTAAATGATGCAAATTTCAGCTTTTGGATCATATTTAGCTTTTTGTGATCATTTTCCAGTAGCTAAATTTAACAAAGGGAGGAACAGTGATATTATAATAACTTCCAACATCCACGTTATCATGCTGTTAATACTACTGCTATTATTAAAGGGATAGTTCACCCCCCCCCCAAAAAAATAAAAAATAAAATAAAATTTTGTGTCATTATTTACACACCTAATGGTATTCCAAACCTGTATGAATTTCTTTCTTTCAGTGCAACACAAAATTAAAAGGAATATGCATAAGGAAGAGGTGCTTAGTCCATATGACTATATAAGCCATTATAATACACTGTAAAAAAAAATATATGTTCATGATTTGTAATCACAAATTTTTTTCTTTTGTTAAATCAACTTAAATAATTAATGTGGTTATTTTGAGTTTCTGATGATTAAATCAATCTCCTTCATTGTATTAACTCAACTTTTTCCATTTTCAATGAACTTAAAATTTTAAGGCAACCAGGTTACTTCATTTTTTAAGTTAAACCAACAATATATATATATATATATTTTTACAGTGAAGCCATACTGTAGCTTTATATAAAGGAAAAGACATAGTTAAAGTCATTATTTGTTGTGGTCAACATTTCCTTTGTTGTATGAAAAAAAAGCTTTTTTAATAATAGTCTGTTATCAATAACTCGTTCATAATCATACAGGTTTGCTAAAGATATCGGTGTGAGTAAATGACAGAGTTTTCATTTTAGGTCAACCAATTCCTTTGATATTTACAATGGCAAAATCACTGTTCACTTACAGAATCATTACCCTCAGGCTCCTCGACTAAGATATCTGCTATAGGTTCGTCTTGAGCAAACCTTGCTCTCCCTGTAGGGCAGACATTTATTTTAAACAGACATCCGCTAAAGCCAGAATTTCTCTTTTTAACATATTTAAACTAACACTGAGTTCATTTGTCAAAAACAATCGCGACTCACTGCGACGGCTGACGGCTGCTTGAGTGTCAGATACTGATCTGTGCCGAAACCCCTTGGGTTCCTTTAGGCGGGACGGGCCACTGTCTGGATTTTCATGATCCAGAATCTGTAAACTTTGATGGGCTGGATATCTTATTTCCTCCTTATGAAAGCTTACACACTGAAAACATTAAGTTAGAAATTAAATGTGAGCTTTCACTTTACAGTACACAATAAGAATGTCACCAACTTGATAGAACTGGAAAGTCTTTAGAGTTGTAAGACCTAAAATAGCAACTTTTGTACGATCTATCAATGTCTCTAACCTGTTTTTCAGCATGCTGACTCTTCAGGATGTCCAACTCCTTCTGCAGGCTGTGGTTTTGCTGCTGCAGCTTTGCAATGTTCTCCAGCATCCTGCACACTTGCTCCAGGTACAGCAACCCAGGAGAGAGCTTGTCCAGCCTGTATTGATCACCGTCTGTAAACTGCTGAGACAGAGAGATCCAGACTGGCTGTATTCATTAAGGTTCCCAGTGTTGCCAACAGTACAGTTTTTTTTATCAACTAATTTGGTGGGATATAAAAGGCAACACCTAATCAAAGAACTTTATGTATAAAATGTAAACCATGATCTCTGTTCTAGATTCAGATTTCACTAATCTTATTACTAAATAGTTGACAGATTATAGATATGAACATCTATTCTGCGCTGCCGTTTGAACAAATGAAATTCTCAACATAGGGAAGCCGAGCTTCTGAAGTCCCTTTAACGGAAGTGAATGCAAATAAAAAAATCTTAAAGCAGAAGTGTGTGAAACGGATTTACTAAATGAAAACTGAATGTTTTTAATCAGGTTTTCTGAAAACGCCACCTTTCAGTTATTGGTTGAATAAACAGATAGTCTCACCCCAGACTTATGCAGTTGGCTTGGGCGTTGTCAATACGTTTCTGTATGAAAGCTCATCTTTTTCTGTCCGTGTTGGCCTTCCGTGTGAAAATGGAGGTATTTGAAAACGATGATGTAAGTTTAGTCATGTGATGCATATTGAACCATTGATATTCATGTTTATGCCGGTATCATGCCTGTTATGTGCTATTCACTTTCACACAGTTGCTAAAATATGCTATTTTGCACACTCTTCATATCACAGTCCTGCAAAGATAAACATAAAATTCACTCACACTCACTGTCCTGCGGTAACACATGACAGCAGTTTCGTTTTAGACCAAACAAATAATGATGAGCGAGTGCGACCTGTACCCCTCAGTGAATGGTGAAATATTTTGCCGAATAAAATGATCATGCTAGAGGAATTGTGCGATAACGTTTTTACGTCTGTTCCATCTGTTTAATTTCAGTGAGCTTTTATGAGGGTTCACACATGCGCTGTAAGTTGAATTTAGCGTTTTCCGGCGTTTGAGAAACTTTTGGAAAATGCTTGAAAACGCTAGTGTGGACGGAGGGTTTTTGAAACGAAAACTCTCGTTTTCAAATCTGTAGCCTGAGATAATGTTGCTGATTAAACTAATGTTTGGATAACACCACTTAAAAGGGAAATCAACCGACAAACAGCTTGTGATTGACTGCATAAAGCTGTGATAGAAAAAAGTATTTAACAAAAAAAAAAAATGCACATTTAAGAGCAGTTTGTGAATTATACAATGATGACTATCTGGATATGAAACCAGTTCAACCTTTCAGTTAAAATCTACTTTGTCTGAATGTATTCAGTGTGTTTTTTATAGCTAATATAAACAAATAATGATTTTAAAATTTAAGGACATAATTCACAAAACATATTTTCGCAGAAATTTGAGTCAAAGCCTATATTACTAAGATAATGAGTCACTGAGTAAATTGCTGCTGGTTCCCTCATGATTTTCCCATGGGGTTTTATAGTGGTGTTTTTCGATTTAGAGTAAAGTAAAGCCTTTGGTAAACATAACTTGATGAAACTTTGAAATTTAAACTTTATTTGAAACTTTGGAAGTATCCAACGCATTCTCATCCCAAAGCGCCAAATACAACGCTTTTGCAAAAGCGTAAATATCCAACGCACATGGCACCCTTTAACGTCTAATGAGACGCTTCGGTTATGGTTAAGTTTAGGTATGGTGTAGGGTATGTGTTAGACCACTAGGGGGCGCCTTCTGCCCAAATATATCTGTGTCTCATTTGACGTTAAAGGGTGCCATGTGCGTTGGATATTTACGCTTTTGCAAAAGCGTCCTATATGGCGCTATGGCACCGTAGATGTAGTTTTTGTAAAAAAAAAAAAAAAAATTGCGCCAAAACCACGTGACTCTCTGTCGCACAGTAGAGAAATTAGTCTTCCAGGATTTGACGTCATCCCTGCACTCTATAAACTTTGTGACCGCTTCCTTGTGAGCCCTCTTTGCAATAAAAACACTATAAAGCCTGGTGACTTTTAACACCCGATTTCTTTGAAAATGATACAAGGAAGACATTTGATATTTCCTTACTAGAATGAAAAGGTGTTTTTGGTTGTGGTTATAGAGTTTTCTTTCCCCCAGCGTTCCCGTTGAGGCGATAACGTTCAGACATGTCCCGCACAAATCTCTATCATTCCTCTGAGCCTGTTGGCACCATTCCAGTCATTCCTGTCTCACCTGAACCGACCGGTTCATAGTCTTAGAGCCCTTGTTTAACATTGCATGACACAGATTCACACCAGAGACACATAAAGGATGTCTATACTGTCTGTGCATGTGTTCAAGAAAGTTTCAAACGCGTGATTCAGTGTGGTTGAATATGTAAGGGGTAACCTGCTCATTATACTGTATTATATTATGATATATTATGTACCTGAGCTAGTCATAAAAGGTTATGCAACTTGAAGACTGCTTGTCATTTCTTGACCATGAAGACTCACATGATGCAGGCAAAGTGCATTCAGAGCTCTGGCCTTGACCATTTCACCTGGGGAGATTTTTTTTTTTTTTTTAACTTATCAAATCATATAATCCTTACCAAATCACATCATATCTTGGATCAAGGACCTTTTTTTTGTCTAATTTGTTGAAAACAGCTTCACAGCTTCGAAAATCATATTCAAATATGAAGACATGAGCCTTTTAAGCAATTATAAAATTGTTAAAAACTATAAAAAATAGAAAATAGTATATGTAAATATATATATATATATATATATATACAGTATATATGTGTGTGTATGTGTGTGTGCGTGTGTTGTTATATATTATAAATAAATATTATGTTGCAAATGCTTAAGTGATCAAAGTTGATAGATAGTAAAGAAAATTATATTGCAAAATTTTGAAAATGCTTTTCTTTTGAACTTTCTTTTCATAATTCAGTTTATATCAAAAATCCTGAAATAAATGTATCACGGTTTCAAATATTAAGCAGCATAACTGTTTTCAACTTTGATAACAATAAGAACATCAAATCAGCATATCAGAACGATTTCAGATTTGATTACAGGAATAAATTACATATCAAAATGTATCACAATAGAAATTGTTATATTAATCCATGTTATTTTCTTATTAAACAAATGCAGTCTTGGTGAGCATACACTACTTATGTCAAATCATGCAAATCCCTATCTTTTGAATGGTATAGTGTGTTTTTACATAAGGGCTGCATGTCAATTGAACTTTAATGGTAAATTATTTGATATAATTATTAAATTAAATAAAATATAATTATTACATTATTACATTAATTTCTATATCATGTTACTGATGCACATTCCTACTACTATAACTAATGTCTGTTTTCCAAGACATGCAACCATACAGTACATGAAGTCTACCTGGTGCAAATACCAGACAAGTAGCCTACTTCTGGAGTGTGAAGAATGTGAGGAGTGTCTGATGTCAAGTGTGTGACATGAAATAAAACAAAAGCATGTAATGTGCGTGTCAAGTGCATTTGAAGCAGCTCACAATGAGGTAGCAAAGCACGTGTTCGTTCAGAGGTGCATCATGATTACATTGGTCATAAAAGAGATATGCTAACCAGTGTTCCCTATTGTATCAAAATGATTTCAGTGAATATGAAAATGTCTATTTCAGATTTGCAGTCACTTTCTAATGTACTGTGATGTATTAAAAACAAACATACTTAGAAGGAAGTAGATTTTGACTGCTTACCGCCAACTGGCTGTCTGAAGGTGGGCGATACTGGTCATATTTAAGAATTTTTCTGTAGAGCTCTGCTTTCTTAGGATCTGAAGGCTGTGAATGTGTTCTCCTTGGGCGGGCAAACTGATAATGTGGTCTGGAGCTGGTTGGGTGACAGTTGGTTGGAAAAGAGGCCGTGTTACAGCGATACAGTGGGCCAGGTGCCCCCCTTTCCATCTGGTCCAAAGATTCTCTCCATGAGGCTGGTTCTGTCCTTCTCAAAGCTTGCTCCACCTTCAGACATGTTGTTTTTGGAGCCACAGAGCTGAGAGAGACACATGAGGATGAGGAGGAGCAAATAGAAGGAGACAGGGATGAAGGTTGAACGTGATCCACTGTCGAGCCAAAAACTGGGTGCGATTCATCAGATGTCAATTCACTACACTGGTGAGAATGGCATGGAGTTGTACTAACCGTCTCAAATCCTGAGTCCTCGGATTCTGATTTTACACTGGATAATGGGACAGAGTCCCTAGACACCGAGTCTAATATGTCCACACCATTTCCTGACTTATAGTGTAAATCCGGGTAGCCTCCAGTCACCCAATTCTCAAGAATATTCCCAAAATTCCTGTATAGGTTCATGGATAATGAAAGTCTCTCTTCCAAGATTCTATCCTCAGGCTCTCGTAGTCAATCAGAACACGTGAACCTCCTCGTAGCACCTTGATCTTCTCACAACTGACTAGACACTTGCAGGTCGGTTTTTGTCACATTGAACCAAAAACACCTTTCAAGGGCCGCCCACATTCCAACTCCTATGTTTCTTAATCGGCTTCTGACAACTGCTCCACTTCCGGTGCCGTTCCTACAATCCTGAGTTCATGTTCTGGGCAGATCTGTCAAGACATGTATGAGGGTGTTGAAACTTTCACAAAGCCCTTAAACAAAGAAACTGCTGGTATGTATCCTGAGAAGAATACGCAAATGTCTCTATAACACTGAAAAGATCTCAATTTATCCAACACAGGGCCACAGACATTACTGGGGACAAGTTCACCTCCACACACACACCTGATACTCAGATATGGGCAATACTTACTACACTTAATTGTTCACAGTTTTGTTTGTTGTTTGGAAGATAAAAAAGTTTTTAGGGTGGTTATCTTTCTCAATAGGGTGGTTACTACCTCAGTAGAGTGCTCAACAATGACGATGAGATGAGATGGCCAATCAAATCAAAGAAGATTTCCAGTAGGCTAGTTTTACCGGTCCGGTAAAGAGGTGCAAGGCAGATTTAAGGAGCTAAACAAAGCTGTTTTACTGTAGAAATATTAAATGGCGACAGTAATATGCAGTAATTCATAATTGAATATGATAAAAACATACATTAGACAAAAATTAGTTTAGTCCTCCAACGTTCTAGACATGTTTATGCTCTTAATCCAACATAATATGATGGTACTTTGCAAATTCATATAGGCTACTGTAGGCTACATGAGAGAAATGAACAAAAAACTGTGTTTAACAATTTAAAGTTGAGCATTGTTCATTTTGGTAAACAATATTGGTCAAAAGAACCAACTCATGTTTGGAGAAATGGTAGGCCTACTTCAGACTCATTTGATCACATGGCATATAATATAAAAATAATGCACTGAAACTAGGGCCTTTGTTGCAGAAGCTGTAAAAGCTGCACAGAGGAATAGACATTCCTTTCCATTGATAACATCAGAATTCCTCTCTGTGTAGGAAAAATGAAAGTATGCAACATCAGAGAAAAACTGTTAAACACTAATAATGATATGCAAATCAAATTTACAATGCACTCCAATGAAGAAATTTAATTCAGGAGGTTCGGGTTTATGGAATTATGTCAATAATCTGTGTTATTAACTTAATTACTGAAGCCATTATGAATGTACATAATCCAATCTGACTTCAATTAAAGTTACTGTACCTATGTATATATATATATGTTTTTATTATTATTATTATTTATAGATAACGAACGTTTAACCTTTTTCATTAGAGCCAATGTCCTCTTTGTGGCTATAAAAAATACGGGTGCATTTCTCATAGCACCCACAAGAGGCTGCAGCCTCACAACTAACTGACTGGTCATGTTAAGTTATTTACGGGTCAACATACCAGCCAAATCCACAGCGATTTTACCGGTCAATGCAGTATCGACGTTTAGAACAACTGCTGATAGAGCAGAGTTTATCAAACAAACAAACAGTTTAATTGGAATTATATATGTAAGAAAACTCATTTAAATGTAAAAACTCATTTAAATGTTGGTGCATATACTTTATCGAGTGCTCGCAATGACAAGAGAACACTATACGTCATGCGGACGCTCGCTCGCTCACCTTGACTCCCTCATTAGCAACCGTTACACAAACACTCACAACTGCGGGTTTGAAAAGATGGAGCAGTTTCCTCCTAAATTCAGTAAAGTGCTGGTGACACCCGACCCGCAATACATACCTGGGTGAGTTCTCAGTTATTTCTCTGAATTGTCATTAAAAGGTTTGATACTCATCTTATTCCAGAAGTTCAACGGTTTTTTTTTTTTTTTGTTTGTTTGTTTTATTGAGTTTGAAAAGGTGTACTTTCTTTCATTTGAATAATAGTTTATTACTATTAAATAATAATAGTTTATTAATTAACTATTATATTAATACTAGTTTATTAATAATAATAGTTTATAACAGTTTTTATTGAATTTCTATTAAACCATGCAGTATTTTCTACTACAGCATATGTTGAGCATAATATGGCTGTGTTATACAGATGTTACCCCACCCACCCAACCATCCCTATTAGTTCCTTTAAATTCAGATCTTCACAAGAAAGATTGTCCCTTAAAGTGCTTGTCCAACTAACTTAAGGATTGCAGGAGCATCTGTCTGCCTGGCTAAATGAATCAATCAAGCATATTTTCAATATCATTAGAAATGCTAATATTAAGGCTCAATCCCAATTCACCCCTTGGCCCTGCTCCATTTTGCACGTTCACGTCTAGGGGTAGTGTGTTCCGATTCTTGTTGAGATCGAGGGGTAGGGTGAAGGGGTGGGGCTACATAGCCCTCAAAACCAGTAGCACCTCAATGCAGCACATGAGATCCACGGGGAGGAGTCGGATCAAGATCCAAGGGGTGTAGATGGGAAGGATTAGGGTTGGGTTTAGGGATTAGGGGTGGGTTTAGGGATCAGGGGGCGGAGTTGGGTAGGTTTAGGTGTATGTAAGGTGGGAGGAGTTGGATCTGAATCCGACTCCTCCCCATGGATTTCATGTTCCGCAGTGAGAACCATCTCCTCAAAACGATTTTTCAGAGGCACACTCCAAATTATGGAAGCTTGTTTCCGGCACTTAATGAAAAATAAATAAGGTAATTGCGACTTTTTATCTCACAATTCTGACTTTTTTTCTCACAATTGCGAGTTTACATCTTATAATTCTGACTTTATTTCTCAGAATTGCGAGATGTAAAGTCAGAATTTCGAGATATAAAGTCGCAATTGCGTGTTATAAAGTCAGAATGCAGTACACGAGATCCAGGAGATGGAGTTGGATCCAGCTCTAAGGGGTGGAGATGGGTAGGATTAGGGGTGGGGTTAGGGATCAGGGGGTGGAGATGGGAAGGTTTAGGATCTGGATCCAACTCCTCCCCCTGGATTTCGTGTTCTGCAGTGAGAACACACTACTTGCACAAGAACGCAAATGGGAACGCACCTTGGGTGTATTTAGAATACATAAAATGCTAGCAGCAAAATTAGACAAAAGATTCAGACATTTTTTTCCCCAAAATGTTTTAAATGACACTTCTGTCACAGAATGGATTGTGGAAATTACATTGGGGTGGAAATGTTTGACTGTATGCAATGCGTGTATGACCATTATGTACAGTATAGTCCACATGGTTTACATCATTATAACATAATAATCATCATTCTGAACAACTGCTGATGGTTGTGTGCAGGTATGGAGGCTACTGTCCTCAGCTGAAGTATCACATGGGCCAGACTTATGGTCAGTTAACAGCAAAGCTCCTGACTTCCCCGGATGTATCTCACTCACAGAGGCTTGTGCTCCATACCGGTCGTCGCCCATCCACAGAGAAGGAACCAGAGCCCCACGATGAGACCTGGAGGAACCGGCATGGAAGCAACAGGAACCTGGAGAAAATGATACCGGGATACACAGGTTATTAGCAGCTTGGGGGATTGCAGTACTTGGTGTCAAGTTTACAAATCTGTTAACATGTCTGTCTGTGCTCTAAGGTTTTGTTCCATTCCGCCAAAACTACTTCAGCAAAACATATGCAGAAACCTGTCGAGATGCAATATTGGAGTTCAGCCAGGAACAAAAGAAGAGACTTCGTATAGCTTCTGCTGACCTGTCTTTTGCTGTCAACAACAGCGGCCTAGGCTTCAAAGTAAGATGTCACAGACGGTTTACTTCTTTTTCACAGCTCCTCTGTGTAGGGTCACCCTGTTTAATTATACATGCTAAATATCCAGTATCAAAGCAGGTCGAGTGTCTCATGCCTGTGAATGAAAGGTAGAACAGTTACTAAACAAGCTCTCCAATATGATTTCTGGCAATTATCACCCAATTGTGATGAAACAAGCTGTGAAAGTCCCCTCCCCTGATTAGATAGATAGATAGATAGATAGATAGATAGATAGATAGATAGATAGATAGATAGATAGATAGATAGATAGATAGATAGATAGATAGATAGATAGATAGATAGATAGATAGATAGATAGATAGATAGATAGATAGATAGATAGATAGATAGATAGATAGATAGAATTCAAAGCTACATCTAATGGTTGTCCTTTGTTGTAGCCTGGGAGATCGATCAGCCCTCTGATTGCAATTTCTAACGATCCTGCCCCCTACAAGTCCCCGGACCCCTGGATGCCACAAGGCTCCCCGTACCTCATGGAGGATAACAGCCAACATAAGTATTTCATCTCAGGTGAGCTAGAGATGGGCTTGCCAATATTACCAAGCTTTTTAAAGGAATTTTTCACCAATGTTTGTTTAACAATTGTCATTTTGACAGGTTTTACTGGCTATGTCCCCAAAGCTCGGTTCCTCTTTGGTTCTGGATATCCCATCATCACCAACAAGGCACTAATCCAATTTAGCAAGGAAATGAAGGCAGGTCAGACCTCCCTGAACCTGGAAGAGGAGGAGCCCACCAGCTTGCCAATGATACCCACAGTATACCCCTCCAAATCAGGTCTCCTGCCCTCCTACACGGGCCACATACCAGGTAAGTGAAGATGGTAATTACTGTAATGTTTCTTTCCAGAAGTGATGCTGTCTTTTCCAGTAGAAAGTTTTCATTTTATATCAACAGGGTACAGATATCAATATGGCCATACATTTTGGGAAGCTCACCCGTAATGCTTTGGGTCACACTGGTACACAGAGGAAGAGCAGGGGAAAACAGACTGAGCTGAAGACCCAACTGTGCAACTGAAATCAGTGATCACACATAACTCATCTAAGGACAATTAAAGTCATGTGGGTCATCTAACAAGCAACATGTAGCTGTGGAATTAATGTTGTCATATTTAATGAGATTCACTATAACTTGGTAAAAAATGGTGGAATTGGTATGGTTTAGTATTATTGATCAAAATCGTGTGATCACTGAAAAGCTTTTCATTTAATCCAACAAAAAGAAATCTATTTTGACAAAATATATGCTTTTTACAAATACTTCCTAAATTCGTCTGGTCAATACAGTACATACAAAAAAGCACACAATACAAACATTAATGACTCAACAAATCTTTATTATCACAAGGTTCCAATCGGGCACAACTTTAATATCAGGAAATAGAAAAATCACTGCTGTTAAAACTTACTCATAATCAAATCTTCCTCTTCAACGAGCATCACTAACATCAGGGGTCCCACTTGGGCGAATAGTCATCAACAAATATCACTACTTAACTAGTCCTGCTGTTAAGTGATAAATAAGTAATATAGCTACTCAGGCATGCATATTTATCAAAGAAATAGATTCCACCGTGCAAAAAAATGCAATAAAAGCAGTTGTAATTCACTGAATACGAAAAAAGAAAACTACAGTTTTAGTTTGTCATGTGTATACATACTTTCATGCATGGAAATGGCTAAGTAATAGAAACTATTTAATAGACCATAATGGAAATTTACTTTTTTAAAGCCACATAGTTCAATAACAGCAGAAATGATATGTCTAGATGACAGCTACTGACCTGAGACGGAGATAAAGTGCAGGGATTGGTTGGAAAAGACTTCTGGGGACCTCAGTTCCAGTTTTGTGCTTGATATGCTAATAGCTAATATATATCTCTGCACAATACTTTGATTGTGTTATAAATTTAATCTAAAAACCTTTATAACATCATGACTTAAAAGTAAGTGAATATTTTTATACCTTTCAAAGACCAAGCTATAATAGAAATTTTCCTGATTGGTAAATCACTATAGCAACATTCTATCCAGGAACAGATTGCATTGGGTAAAATCTCATTTAGGTGATTTTTAGTTTGGATTAATTGTGCTTCTACTCTGTCTAGCTGAAATCAGACTCCTTGTGGGGTCTTAAGAGTTCATATTTCATCTTTATTTTTCTGTGTCTCTGTCATGGTTACCATTTGGATGAGCCTCTGGCCATTTCCCTGTCCACACTGACTGTGCTAGCAGATCCACTTTTGATGCTCCAAGCTTCAGCCATTCTGAGGGCCGCCTAGAAGAAGACAAATGATCTGTCATTAAGACAACCAGAGTTAACAAAGTGAATTTATCAGAGGTTTTGAGGATTCACAGACACTGACCTACTTCTAAGAGATCCACTAATGCTCTTTTGTGCCCTCTGTGGCCCAACTAGGGTTCCGACTCCAGAGCCAAAGAGTCTGGCCCAACGCAGTTCACTGAAGTGTTTATCCTCCAGACGACTTGTTAAATATTGTGGCATTTCAATGTTTTCCATTTCATGTGCTTCATCTTCTTTCGTCTTTGTTCCACACTCTGAGGTGGGTGTCTGATTTTGCCAAGATGCGTCAGTTTCACTAACATCACTGGGACCTTTTGAGCTTCTGCTGTTTGTCTGGATAGAGCTCATTTGAAGAAACTGAGCTGACTGGGCAAGAAGCCGATGAGGCAAAGGTGCTCTGTACTTTTGCTTTTCCATACTTTGAGGTTCGGGTGGCAGATGGAGGTCAAAAGGCACCAGGGATAGTGGCTGCAGCAAAAGAAGCAGCTCTTGAAACAGTTGTCCATAAATTGGCCCCTGGGCCAGAGCCAAGAAACCCCAATGATGATAGTGTTCCGTCACAACATCTATGAATTGAGTATAAAATGAGCATTCATTTTAAAAGTATAAAATAAGGAATTAAGTATTCTGACGACAGACAATACATTCCTTTATAGTTGTCGCTAAACATTATAATACTTACCTACGCAAGTGTATACATGATGGATCCAGAATTCCAAAGCACGCAAGCTAAAGAGCAATATGTTCATTAGTTAACTGTACTGTAGCATAACTTTACAGATGTATTCAGCATTTGACCTACTTTAGCAGATCTATGATGAAGACACTGAGCCGCATGCGACTTGATAACTGGGAACATTTTTTTACCACAGATACCAAGCTGTCAGGCATTCGGGCAGATGAGCCTATGAAGACAGAAACATTGACAATCTTAAGAAAGACAGTGTCCAACAGTGGTGGAATGTAACGAAGTACAAATACTTTGTTACTTTACTTAAGTACATTTTTCACGTATCTTTACTTTACTTAAGTAGAATAAATAGTGCCTACTTTTTACTTCTACTTCGTTACATTTTGCAGCAATTATTCTACTTTCTACTCTATTACATTTCTACAACTTCTGTTACATTTTCATTACATTTCCTGATCAGTTTTTCCCCTGCCAAAACGTAATCTGACCGTCCGTTCGTTGCACGTTTGTCTCACCAGTGATGTTTGGTTGCCATAGATACATCAACTAAATGCGTCTCGCACGCAGTGTGTTTATCGTGCAATTTATACGCGAAAATTAGGAAACACACCGTGTGTATTTTTTTTTGCCTCATTTTTATTTTTATTTTTTTTTTATGGCAAGCAAAGAGGTTCAGAATTACACTATAAATTAATCACGTCTACAGCCAAACATAGTGGATGAGCATGGTTTATATTGCCTAATTGCAAGCTTGTTTCAGAAATGGTGACAACAATTTTTTTCCATCATTATTGAACATCATTATAGGAGTATTAGGTTGAATGAGTTAGAATTAAATGTTTTATTAATCATTAGAAAATAGTCATTAAGAGAATCAATTGTTATGCAAGTACTTTTACTTTTAATACTTAAAGTACATTTAAAATCAGGTACTTTTTACTTTTTACTTAAGTATGGTTGTCATTGTGTTACTTCTACTTTTACTAAAGTAAATATGTATCTGGTTATTTGTACTTTTACTTAAGTACTGAGATTCAGTACTTCCTCCACCACTGGTGTCCAATCAGCTTTTGAGGGCATTTCACTTGGGAATTACGCGGTTTCATTTGATTATCTTCTGACTGACTCCCACAGACCTGGTTGTGTCGTGGCCTCCACGATGTTCCATAGATTGTTGCGGCGCTTTCCAATAATCAAGTCAAATTTATACGCCTTCAAACCATCTTGAAGGATGTTCTGGATTGCGGGGTAGAGCTTTTTAAGGACAAGGATGCTGATTGTGGTGCACAGTGAACTGTTTCCCAGTCTGATCTAGAAACAAAATGACAAAACAATTTAAGAGATCTGATTGATACTTAGGGCCCTATCTTGCACCTGGCGCAAATTTGTTCACTGACGCATGTGTCATTCCTATTTTGCACCCGTGCAAAGTGGGCTTTTCCCTCCACACACGCACGTCGGTAAACTAGGAAATGAACTTGCGCTCCTTGGGTGGGTCGGGGCAAAAAGGAGGCGTGTTTCGGTGCAAACATTCCCTAGTGCTATTTTGCAGTACCAGAAAACAACTCCGTCACTGACCAGAAAAAAAAAACTAGTCTAAAGTCAGTGGCGTTGTTCGTAATGCTATTTTAAGCGTGCATGCTTGGCCATAATGTAGCGTGTACACAACGCGCATACACTTTGATTCTCTCATCAACACAGATGCATGCAGCAGTTTTTATTTTTGTAAATCATACATTATAACAAAGAAAAATATTAACACTTGAGGGAAATCATTGTGGTTTACATGAAGATGTAAAAAATCTAGCTTACACATTTAGCCAAATTTTTCAGGCTAATTGTAGTAATGACGGATCAGAGCTGTTTATCCAATAGTGGCAATACACATATGTATATATGGACATCTGAAAAATTAGTTTGTCCGTCAAGAACCAGGAAAAAAAAAAACCTCCCCCATACAATGCCACAATGCCAAGAACGACGGTCTCCTCGTCTGTGAACCGCACCTGGCGCACACATCTTAAACCTTAAATCTAATTAGAAACCATAGGTAAAATAATTGAATGATACTTCTATCCAATGTATTTTGCCCCACTTTCCATATTCGTTTTTTTTGTTTGTTTGTTTTTTGGACTCCTGATAGTACCTTTTCCTCTGGGTCTTGTCTTGAGTTGAAATTAGCTATTATTAGATCCACTGCTAAACTCACAGCTTTCAACATACCTGCAGAAAAACAGAAAGCAATGAGAGGGATGGGAATTTAAGACTCAATAAATATTTATACAGCAAATTTGCAAATTTACAAATTTAAAATGTTGTATTTTTAGGTAATTTCTCTCAATCCCTCTAAAGGATTTTCCACGAAGATATGTGAACCACAATAAAAAAAGCAACATATAGTACTACATATACACACATAGAAACACACATACAAAAATTGCAGTGTGTTAGCCAATCCGAGGCAGTGAGAGTTAAAAGTAGGTCACATTTTCCCCTTCAGGGAAGCAAAGGCAATGCTGCAGAGATCCACTCTGAAGCTTTCTGTAGCAGAAGGGATTTTTGCTTTCAATGGCAGTGAATTGTACTTCAGTGTTTTCTGCATTTGGAATTTCTATGCAGCACAAGCTACTGTAGAAATTTCATATTCACATAAGTCTACATACAAATCATGGGCATATTGCTATTCAGAATAACAAAAACAGAACATTACATATTTGCAATTGATAATAATAATCATGTAACAATGTAAGATGGGTGTTTAGCAGATTTTGTATAATCTCACTTCTCTTGTGTAGAATATCGATTGAAAGAACATCTGAAGGGGCTTCTTGGGAAAGGCAGAACTCGTCAGGGGGTCTGTCTGTCATAGAGAATGAGTCACTGTGTTGACGCTCCCTCATAACACCTGCAGAATTAAGGAAGCATGCATAAAATTTGACTTTACCACGACTTTTACGCAAATGTTTTACGCACAAACATCCACATTAGTACAGTAAGTGAATGGAAACAATAACATTACTTGAGATTCAATGACACTTACAAGGTGATCTCATTGGCCCAAAGATGTTGTGAGCATTGTTCTTGGGTTCTTCATTGGTGCAAGCTTCAAGATGCCGAAGTGATTTTTGTCCAGTGCCGGGCAGAGAGATGAGGGAGGAGATAGAGGTCAAGGAGGTGACTGATGTAATGGCAGGGGAGGAGCTTTGATGTAAAGGGTGGGATGCATCCAGAGGACCTGTAGTCTCCTCTAAAATTACTGGTGGAGTCTGAATCTGAACAAGGGGCACCTGCTCGAGAAGAGAGTTGTGAGAAGACTGTTTTCCAGACCAGGATTGTTTTTGACTTTGACTTGAGCAGGCCTTTGGACTCCGTTCTGTTTGCTCTGGGCTTTGAGGGTTTCTTGGTCTGGTATTTGGACTCATATGTGGATTTCTGTTCATCAAGTCCTGGTGAATAAGCCCTAACATTGTGCTAGGTTGGGTACAATGGGGGCGATTATGGGGCAAAATAGGACTTGATGTGCAGGTGGAACAACTATCTGAACTGGTCGCTGCCTCCAGATGAATGTTAGAAGAGCTCCCGAGAGGAGAGGGTTGTACATGGTGCGGGTGTACCTTGCTTTTGCAAGGAGCTTTGGATGGACCAGCATTGGTGTACTTGTGGCTCATGTACTGATTGAGAAGAGAACCAAGAGTCTTGCTCTGTTGTTTTCCTGAGGGTGCCTGAAGCACAAAGGGCTGAATGGGGAGAAAGGTGGGCCTTTGTGCTTTTGTGTATCGCACAACTTCTGGGGATGAAGCACATGCACCTATGGACACAAGAAAAAAAAATGTGGAAAATCGTTATGGTACAAAGAACTGAATAAACACGATATTAGGGCCGGCCTCTATAGTTTTTTTTTTACCTTCTGGATTGGACTGATTACTGCTGTCAGCACTCATGGACTCTGCTGCCATCTCTGAATCATCCTGTTTCTGAATGGAGGAGAGATTATGGATAAAGTGTGAGCCTGATGGATCCTCTATGCTCTTTTTCATAGATGATTCTCCTTTTCCCTTCTTACATCGGACAATTTCTGCAAAACAGGTGGCGTGGTTCATAGATAGAGGTGAAGATATATTTGTGTCTGAATGGCAGGGACAGCTGTTTTGCAGGGCTCCCAGCTTCGATAAGACAGAGCATTTCTGGCTGCCAGTCCAGCTCTGAGACTGAGGTGTCTTGATATAATTACAACTACCATGTTCTTTTGAAGCGGACTGACAAGTTTTTATGTGTGCCATCCTCTCATTTGTTCCCTTAGATTGGTCCTTATTCCTCCCTTCATCACCCTGGAAAAGTTGGAAAATTTGTAGTTTCACTGTTGTGGATATCACTCGGTAGATGTAAATTATACATAAAAATCAAATAATTTGGCTATTCAAAAGGACAGTATATACGTTACAACATTAATCCCTTAAACTAGAAATTTACCATAGGTATGGTACGATAATGGCTTAAATACCTGGTGTTCACTTTGGTCAACCTTTGGGTTCTTCTTTTCATCTCGCACTGCATGTCCAAAAAGGAAATATTCTGAAGGTGGAGAACAGCTTCCATGGCTTTGAGTCTCAGAGAAACTGGTCAAAGAGGACCATGGTGGGCTGGGTGAAGACTGGGATGATAGGTCACACGTCACCAGTTTATAGTAATTCTGGGAGGAACCTGCTAACCGAGCCTGACTCTGCAGACACATGGTAAGGTCAGAAATGTCCATTGATGGGAAACCCTCAGAGTTGGATGGATAGATGTTGCAGTTTGGATCACTGCTGTGAGATGACCAGCTGGGCAAAGGGTTTGAACTGTCTTGCAACATTGAACCTGATCCATGAACAGGACTATCTAGGTTGAGTGGAGTTGCAGGAACTGCATTGTTGGTTTTGTTGTATATGGCACTGAAGTTAACTAGTACTCCATCTGAGCTATTACACGAAGAGTCGGTGATATAGTCCGTTTGGTTTTGAGTGAAGGATTCAATAAGATTTTCAGTTGGAGCCCAGCTTCCAGGTTCCTCTAGAGTTTGCCTGCTAAAGTCTTCCACATCACCCCAATCCTGTTCATCACATTCCATTAATACAGGGGTTCCTTTGCTTTCACCACATGTATCAAGCTCCCTCCCTTGTTCTTTGTTTTCGTTGGCTTGGCTAAACGTATTCATATTACAGTGAGTCGCATTTCCTTGTAGTTGAAGGGATGACCCCTCATAGTACTTATGCAAGTTGTCTCCCTCCGAGTCCTCATCCTCTTCATCCTCATTCACTTCTGAATCAGGGATGAAGAGGTTTTGCAATCTGCGATGGGATGGCTCTTTATTTAGTTGAGGACTGGTTGATGGAGAGTTCTCTGACCAAACACAAAGCATTGGGAACGATTTGTATCCTCTAGAATTTTCAGTACCCTTCTTGTCTGCCGTTTCTGTTGAACTTGACTTGTTTGTGTGGCTTAGACCACCGTAGTCAAGTGCTTCCCTTGGCAGATCTCCTCTCTCGGGTAGGGATATACTGTGGGTTAAATTCAGAGAGCGTGGCTGCCTAGATGTCTGTACCGAGTTATGTCGGGGCCACCCAACAAACTGGCCATGGATGTGGTACACAATCAGAGTTTCTCCTGACTTTGGGGAGACGTCCATTTTCTAAGCACAACACTTCAAAGCATCAGTCTTTGCATGGCAGGCTGGTGAAGTGAAACACAGAGAATGCAAAGCTCAGTGTCTGCATTTTTATTGCTTTCAAGCAAGAATCTTAATGGAGAAAATAAGCATTATGTGGATTAGCTATAGTAATGCTTTCATATAAATCCTGACTCAATACTTTACCAATTTTACAGGGTTAGTTCACCCAAAAATGAAAATTCTGTCATCTACAGTATTACTCACCCGCATGCCATTCCAAACCCGAAAAACTTTTGTTCTTCTTCGGAGATTAATCAATTGAAGTCACATGATTATTTGAACGATGTCTTTACTACCTTTCTAGGGCTTGGAAGTGTAGTTGCATTGCTGTCAATGGGACAAATGACAAAAAGCACTCATATTTCATCTTATTTTGTGTTCCGAAGATAAACGAAAGTCTTACAGGTTTGGAAGAACATGAGGGTGAGTAATTAATGACAGAATTTTCATTTTTGGATAAACTAAGCCTATAAAATCCAATTTTCCATTAAAACCAATAAATCACATTTGCTCTGATCTTAATGGGTGCATCCCAATAACCATACGTTTTTTGATGAGAGTATTTTTAATTACAATAGATTAACTCCCTCCTGCATTACCACTTTGCTACTTCATTGCCTTATATATCCCACATTGGTTATAAAAACAATGCCAAAAAAACAAGCTTTTTTGGTTGATGTTTTGAGAACTGTCAATTGAGCTCTGTTGCTTTGATACAAATTTTATGTTCTCTCCCCTAACCCCAAAACATTATTTATTATGTTTATTAATCTGGATTCCTTGCAGGAACCGTTGACTAAACCCCATATTAAACCTGAATACACACATACATTACACACATTTACTAAACGAAGACAGCATAGATTTCTCATGTTGCAATTACAAATCCTACAGACTAACCCTTAAACCTATTGAGATTGTAAAACATCATTATGTAACTTTTGATTTATAAATCATTTTTTCGATTAAGATTATGCCAGAATGTTTCAAAAAGAAAGCTGTCGTATTTTGCTTACTTATGGTTATACTTTTGTCCCCTAATAGCTTAGTAAAATAAACATTGTAATGAAAGATACTCAACAATATATGTCATTTTAGTATTTTAGTTAATACATTCTTTTACTTTCTTCAAATTCCAGCCCTAAAATTATTTGTTTAAGTAACAGTAAATTAGGACCCTGTGGTCAGACTGTTAGCATGGGGCAACTGCATAAACTCACCCAGCCGTAAAGCTCCATCAATCCGAGAGTCAGCACATAGTCACTCTCATTCTGTCTGCACAGTAACTAGAGCAAACACACTGCATGATCACAACACAATACTCTACATCCACTCAGCAGAGACTAAGCAAATAAAAATAAAACATGAAAAGATAGGAACGGGTAATGTCCCTCTCGTTGTTCCTCTTTAGTCACACTTCTTTCTGGTCGCTCTGCACTCCTCACAGCTCATCTGTTCCTCATACCTCCCCCCTCCTCCCCCTGTACAGTGGTTCTGAGCCCCACAGTCCTATAGCAACAGCATCACAGACCCCACTGAGCATGCTCAGTGCTTTGTTGTTGAGGGATCATATTTGAGGGGATGGCAGATTTGCCTCTGCTCTCAAATTGAACACTGACTCATAGAAGACTTTTCGAAAATTGAGATCCTCAATAAGAAATGAATGTTTTTAAATTAAGCAGATCTCTCACATAGAAAATAGGATGGTTGAAACCCCATTTCTTTCGAGAGGCAGAAGGAAATTCTGTCATTATTTACTCACCTTCACTTAATTCCAAAGCACTTTCTTTTTACCATGGAAATGTTGTTTTGAAGACTGTGCTGGTTGCTCTTTTTCATGCAATTAAAATGGCGACTGGAGCCTCAAAAAGACACAAAAGCATTAGAAAAGTGGTCCTTAAGACTCTCTATCTTCCAAACTGAAGAATGAGTTATCATTAATTGATAATCTTCCCATCCATTGAGGAGTTATTTATGCTTCTTAAAACATTCATTTTGTATTTTGGGTGAACAAATCTTTTACTATTATATGAAAGAGCTGTGCACTATTATACAGTAATTGAGGTACGTTACAGAAAAAAAAATTGGCTGCCACAATATAATCATCTGTTTCTGGTTGTCCTCATCCACCCCATGTCACTAATGAGTTGAAAGACTTGCCTTTGGTGACGCATGGATATGGATAATCTCACAAACATCTGGTGTAAGCACTGATGGAAAAGGTGGCTAAATCCCTTCGCCTGAATGCCTCTGTCTCTCAGTTCAACAACCAACTAGGGAAAAGCACATATTTGTATCCACATACACATGGTAAACAACAACAAGCTCATCAGATTATATATCAAAAAGCTTACTGTCTTTTCGCTTAATCTACTGACCTAAATCAGTATAACTATAAGATGCCTCAAAAATATTTTTTATGCCTCTGTTTCTAGTCAAGAACAGCTATAGATGGCATATACTAAATTAAATGCAAATTTATTGTTCACATGGTAGAAGCTAAAATATGCTTAAGGTACTCTAAATAGCATTTTAATAGTATAATAACTAACTGTACAGTAAATATAATGATCTACATGTAGTGCTTTGCATAGATTGACGAGTACACATCCTTCAGAGCTTCATTAGGAAATGTGGCCTGTCACTCAAACCTCTTGTATATTTTCATCAAGCTCATCCAGTGCATTCAAGCAGAAGACAAAGACAAAAAGAGCCTTGTTTCCCCAGGGGAAGGATTGTGGTCATTTTTGTGTAGATATGGACATGAACGCAACATGATGATAATCGGAGCACTGGGCTCAATCAAATTTTGATGTTTGTCAGTCTTTGACCATACTTCGAAGAAAGCTCAAAATGTAAGAATGTTAGCAAGGACAAGCCTTACGAAGTGTTCTTACAAATGCAGTTTCCAAAAGAGACAATCTTCTTGTATAAGAAAATACAAAGAACGACTATTTTATGTTTGTTATTGGTTAATTATTAGGTGTTTTTAACGACTATGTAATGTAAAAATGTACATTAAAAAAAAGATTTGTACAATGTACTTATTTTATCAATGTTGTACTGCGAAACGTGGCATACTGGTAAGGTTAGGTGATATGAGTAGGCTTAAGGATGGGTTAAGGTGTACGGGAAAGGTCAATAGATTACAGTTGCCACTATAGACATTACAGCTGTAATTACGTGCATTAAGTACAATTGTATCAGATGTTTAATTGTTATTACATAGTAGTTAAAGACTTAATACTATATTACTATATTAACTTAATTCCGGCAGGAAATGACTGAGGTGCGCAAAGCACCTAACTCCCAATCACTTCCCGGGCGCCACAGCAAAAATGGCTGTTCACTGCTCTGGGTTTGTGTGTCAATGGTTTGCAGTGTGTGTGTGTGTGTTCACTACTCAATATTCCTTATGTGTGCGCACTAACTTGGATGGGTTAAATGCAGAGGACAAATTCTGAATATTTGTTACCATCCTTGGCCTTCACATGTCACTTTTACTTGAGAAGAATGGTCAATGAATTTGAATTAACTGCTTAAAATGTTTTGTTCCATAAATGCATTGGTCTCAGTACTCTGAATTTATTACTACAATATACTAATAAAATAGAATTTATTTGATTATTGGTACAATCAGACAAATACAATAAAAATACAAAAGTATTTTCTTAAAGTTTATTGTATTTCATTAATCAAGGCACATTTGCATCTTTGTATAAAACATGATAAAGTAGAATGTCAAATCAATGCATTTTGGAGACCATTTCAAATATTAATATTAAAAAAACAACAAAAAGGAAACATAGAAAACATTTACAAAATTGTCATAGATAATTATAGCACTTCAAATCTGCTTGTATGAAGCACTTTTTGAATAATCTCTAGGCCTTTTTATGTGTGGACAGACTAACAGCAAGATAACAAGAACAAGTTCTAATGTCCTAAAAATTTATAAAAAATATTACGTTTTTATGTCCTCTGGTCTTAATAGGAACCACATACTGTAGGTGATTTGAAGTGTTTCTGTGTGCGTAAGTGTTGTGGTAAGTGCATGTTTTATGCCATTTTCAGCAATTAATCACAGCTAAAAACAGCATCTTACTTATTCACAGCTTCACTTCATCTCACTTATGTGAAATATTTTTAAGCCCTGCTAAGAATACTTCTCCAAGTACTCCTCTATTATGCAATATTAAAACTCGCGGTAAGTCGCGGTAAATATACAATAGAATAAGGGCCTTTAGGGGCTCTGATTCTCCTCGAATATGCTTCGATATGTCTGGGGTATGCTGTCAGACACCGGTGTCTCACTGTGGGAGAAAAGAGCCGGTCTGGTCTTAACTGGGATCCGCAGGAAGCGTCCAGATGTGACAAGGTCTCCATAACCACGGGCATGAGAGAAAGCATAACCAGATCGCCGTGTGCTGATTCGTCTCCGAGGGAATTTGCGAGGCAGCGGTGCAGGGACAGCTTTGGCCTGTCGGACTTTATGTCGCACCTGTAGAGCGAAAGACAGATATATGAAGAAAATATACAGAGAGTGGAAAGGAAAGAATATCATTAGTAATGAAGAAGCAGGAAGAAGGAACAAAAATGAATGATTCCTGCTCATGAGATTATGAACCCACTGATTGTGGAATCCAGAAATAACCTTGACATTACACCTCAGCATGAAGCCGCCGTGCCACTGCATCCCACAGCTCTGACTCACTCTATACACGTGCGTTCTGCTCATAAAGGGAGGCAGATCTCACATTTTCATCCTGTACTGAGTACTGACGCATTGCCTGAGAGACTTTGAATGTGCTTTTAGAAGAGAACTACTTTAAATTTTAAACACCAGGGCTTGACATAAACTTTTTTGCTCCCCAGGTACTGTGGTTACTAGCCACTCAACGTTTTCACTGGCCACAATTTTGACATCGATACCATAGGGGAAAAACTTCCATATTTTTTTTCTTCAAATTTATCTCATAATTTGGCATAATTAATTATTTTATTATAATTAGGCTGCTGTCACTTTAAGACCTGATGCAGTGCAATAAGTGCAATAAGCAGCGAAAAGAACGAGGAAGAAGACGATGGGTCAGAGATTTATTTGCTTTTAGAATAATATCCAAGGCTGCATTGAAAGGTAACTTTGCATCTGCTACATTTAGGTATAAACAAACTGCTTCGGTGTGTGTGTCGCATCATCGTCTTACAGCTCCCTTCCCGTTGTGTGATTGGTCCCCTTTTAGAGTTTAATTGACAGGTGATCCGACCAATCGTAATCCGCTCTCCGCCAAATCTGTCATTTCGTCAGACAAAGCAGGCAGGAGAACTAGTAGATTAATGTTGGTGGGCTTGAACTTGAAAAACAGTGTGTACTTATGTCTTTCTGCGGTTTAAAAAACATTCCTTCTGATGTTCATTCACGTTTATTTGATGCTATAAATTGACTAGAAGGAAGAGATGATTGGTTTATGAGCAGCTTTAACTGAGGTGCTACAGCGATCTGTCACCACACATTAAAAAGACACAAAATGGTATTTATTGTTCAAATTTCTTTAAAAATGACAAAATTTGAAAGTTGAGACTCAAAAGAAACCTCCTCTGTTCTGTCTGTCAGTGTGTTGTTGTCAGTATCCTCTTTTGTATTCGATGTAAATTTCACAGTGTGAGAACATGATGTGAGGTACAGAGCCATAGCTTGTCGGACATAGCAACAATAACTGAAGAGAGAGGGTTTTTGCGAACCGCCAATTGTTTAAAAGTCCATAAAAATGGTCTCACACATACAACTATGAGTACAACAATGATAAATTGTATTACTGAAGGAACTAGTTGAATCACCCACCTTGTCATTGATAGTGGGCTTGAGTTGGATGAAGAGGAACCTTTTTGCCACCACAGGCAGCGAGCACAATATGGTGGTCAGAAAGATGGTCAGCCACACGTTGGGCTGGTTAAGGGAGTTTCTTGCAGTGCCTGAGAAAGATTGATTCATTTGAAGCTGTTTAAAACGCACACAAACAGCAGGATAAGCAGATGTGTTTAGGAGGGAGGGACACTCACCAATGAAAGGAACAAAAGACGTGAAGATCAAGTACATGCCGTTGCTGTACATGGTGAATGTGACGGCAAAATACACAGACAGACTGCCCCACAGGAAGAACTGATTCACTGCTGTCCAATAGTATGTTTCCAAACCCAGCTTAAACACACATAAACATGGTGTTTATATACATGAGAGCATGTACACTCTACACGCCATTCTACATTTGGGGCCATGGGGTAATTAGAAATGTTTCTTGAGCAGCATATTAGAATGACTCCTGAAGGATCATTTGACACTGAACACTGAATAATGCTGAAAATTCAGCTTTGATCACAGGAATAAATGGTCCCACTTTATATTAAGTGGCTTTAAGTACTAGGTACTTACATTGAACAATAAGTACAATGTATTATTGTGTCCCTG